GAAAGAAAGAAAGAAAGAAAGAAAGAAAGAAAGAAAGAAAGAAAGAAAGGAGTTTCTCTTTTCTGTCTTTCTCCAGCAAATAAAAATGTACTTGCATTCATCCAAGTCTATGAATTTGAAATCCATAAATAACAAAGATGTTCTGAAGACTCTGGTTAATGTACACAATTGCAAATGTGTATGATCACAGCTCTGTAAGTCTCTCTCGATACGATGAAAGAATTGAGTTTACAGAAGAGGATAAATGATTTTAAACGTTTGCATTTTTGTGAGTAGTCATTCTGAATAAATCTTATGCAGAGTTCACTAAAATGTGCTTCTCCCACTTTGAAAAACAGTTCTTGGAAACTATTTCTGTAAAGTAATTTTCCTTAGCAAGGAATGTCAGCAGTTCAAAGATCTTTCCAGAACTTGGGAAACACATGTAGCTGACATTGGCATCAATTGACAGACTCAGATTTGTTGCTGAATGGTTAAGTGAATCACATTTATTGTGGTCCAAGCAAAAAGCTCCTACTTTTATGTTTTGCATATCTTATTCATGAGTTCCAAGCTGCCCTGGCTACCTGCCATCTGGCCTGTGATTGAAAATGTATTTATTGTTAGACAGTTTAAGTAAGAGTTTAAATTGACTTTTAGTACAGGCAAAAAGCCTTTCCTTAAAAATAAAATTCTTAAAGACAATTAGCTTGTGTGAACTCATATAAAAATGTTTTCATGTAGTAGTTATACTTTTATACATTAGCCCTCCTCTTTTATAAATTAGTATCACATAATAGCATCAACATTTGTCATTTTGTCTTACTTTCTCTTAAGGCAGTTTTCCCAAAACTATATTTTGAGTGGCTCAGAAAAGATTCACAGATAATAATCTGGTCATCATTTTTAGCTTCCGATAAGATTTATGTTTTAAAGTCTAAGCTACTGAAATAAGAAATGTAGGAGATACAGTGGCTATCAAAAGCTGGATCCTGATGAGTTGGAATACTTTTGAAAAGCAGGAGTGAAAAATGAGGGGGGAAGAAGAGGTGGCATGATAGCTTAGCGGACTAAGCTCCTGCTTAGGCAAGCACAGGGACCAGGGTTCGATCTCTGTCACCACATGCCATACTAGCTCCACCCATGGAGCACACTGAGTAGGCCACCAAAATGTGGCATGGTGGTGCATGCCTGTAATCCCAGTGCTTTGAAGGCTGAAAACAGGAGGATCACTACAAGTCCAAGATGCACAGTGAGAGGCTATGCTAAACACACACACACACACACACACACACACACACACACACACACACAAAGAAAATGAGGGGAAAAATGCTTTTCAATGTGCAAGTAATTATTATGTTGCTTTTGAAGATTGAGTTGAAGACTTATTAGCTCCAGAACTTCACAAGGATTTTTCCTTTTTTTCCCTTTTTGTGGTGCTAGAGAGTGAACTCAGGACCTTTACACCGAGATGCATCACCAGCCCTTTTCTTTTTTTCTTCTTTTTTTCCTCCCTTTTCTAATTATTTATTTCAGTGTGCTCACTTCGGCAGCACATATACTAAAGTTGGAACGATACAAAGAAGATTAGCATGGCCCCTGCGCAAGGATGACACGCAAATTCGTGAAGCGTTCTACATTTTTGCCTCCGTCTAATTTCTTATTTCAAGGCAGGGTCTTGAAGTCGCTACAGTGCCCAGGTTCAGCTGTTCTCCTCCTGGCTTCGTGTCTCAGAGCACTCGGATGACAGCTGTGCCCCGGGTCCTCACTAACTCAGGGTCTCTTACGTCGTCTTCGGGAAAACCAATCCCCGCGAATGCCTACTACCGCCCCCTCATACACACTCTACTTCTAACCTAGAGCCCTGGCTTTACCCATTACTTATGCCTAGAAATTTATTCCCCAAGATATCAATTTATTTCCTAATTTCCTAGATCCGATGTTGGAGACTGTGGCTACCATTTGTCTTCCCCTCTAGGTCCTAGTTTACTACCCATTTAACAGATGAGCTAATACAATCGTAGACCAGGTAAGTGAGGTAACTCATTAAATCTAAGAGACTGCCCTCCCGCTCCCTCCCCTCCTCTTTCCCCTGCCCTTCCCATCCCTTCCTCCTCCCCTCCCCTCCCTCCCCTCCCCCTTCCCTCCCCTCTTCTCTCTGTTCTTCCCTCTCTCTCTCTTCCCTCTTCCCCCTCTTCTTCCTTGTTTCTTTGCTAGTTATGGGGATCATGTATGCTAAGCACACACTCTAGCAGTTGCACCCTAGTCCTGTTCTGTTCTGTTCTTTTGTTTTCTCTTTCTTTTCCTCAGCGGTCCTGAATGAGTTCACAAGAAACTGGCTTTTCAAAGGAAAAAAAGGACAGCCCTGTTCTTAGACAGCAGAGTAAGCCCGTGTGCTTGCAATCCTAAATGCTAACTTGGAAAAACTGAGGACTGGTTTCCATCCCTTCCAGTGGCTTACTAACCTGAATGACAATAGAAACTTTGTTTTCTGTTTTGTTCTTTTTAACAGTTGGAGGCATCTGTACTGTGATTCAGACAAAGGCCAAGACGACAGCGGACGAGTGGGGTGAAAACTACTTTCTGATAGGTCCATATTTTGAGCATAATATGAAGACTCAGGTGGAGCAGTGTGAACCCATGAACGAAGCTGTCCGACTAGCGATGGACGCCATGAACAAGCACGGCTGCCAGGTAAGGGATGCGGACCCCGGCGACTCCTGGCGACTCGGATGCCCACCCCGGTGGCTCTCATGCTGACCTCCGGCCACTGGCAGAAAGCTCTTAGGGGAAAACTGACTGCAAGAAAGGGACTCATAATAGAAGACCATCACCACTTAGGGAAGAAGAGCATGATTGGGAGATAGACAATGAGTTCAGTTTTCACTGGGTCCCATTTGATACCCTTTGTGAAAACCATGAGGGAACTAAGAGGATGATGTGTTTGGAGCTCGGCAGAAGGTAGGAGGTGGAGAAGTCTGTAAGGAAGATATTTGCATCTTGATTACAGATGGAGTGTTGGGAGCTTGCTAAAATTATTCAGTAATTGTTTATAGACCAAAAAGATAAAGGTTTGTGCCAAACTTTGGAGTCTATCAACATGTTATATGCTTTGAAAGGAGACAGAAATTTGTAAATAGATGCAAATTAGTAATATAGAATGGCAGATATCTAAGTCTGAATTATTATTATTGTTTTAGGGGATAGTATTAGGGATTGAACTCAGGGCTTTTACACTGTACTAATCCCCAGCCTTATTTATTTATTTGAGATAGGATTTCACTAAATCACTCCTGCCTCAGCCTTTTGGAGAGCTGGGATAACAGCTGTGTGCCACCATTCCTGGCTCTAAATCCTGATTCTTAGAATCTATGAACGTGCTACTTTATGTAGCAGAAGGAACATTATAGATACGATTGAGCTAAGGATGCTGAGATGGACTATAGCTCTAAAGTATCCGAGTAGGGCCAGTCTAAGCTCAGCGTCCTCATAAGGAGAAATAGAATTAGCATCTAAGAGAGCATAGGACAGTGGAGCACAGAAGTTAGAGACCTGGACTTTGAAGACAGAAAAGGGGCCATAAGGAATGCAGGTGGTCTCTAAGAGCAAGAAAATCGAGACAGCAGACTCCTCCCTAGGGAAGTACAGATGGGACTCAGCTCTATCAGTGTGCTGATGTTCACCTTCAAGACCATTCTGGACCACTGGTCTCTAGGGATATGATAATAAATATGTTTCTATAAGCACCAGGTTTCTGGTAATTTGTTACATCCACAGCAGGAATAATCTGGACAAGTCAAGAGAGGAGTTTCAAGTAGGGGAGAAGGATTTAGTCAACAAAGATCTGAGCCAGCACCAACTAGGTAGGCCAAAATTTGGGCTCTTGGTAGCACTGTAAGGTACAATTTTATTATTTGATTTGGCTTGGTATTAGGAACTGAAATTAGAACCTTGCCCTGAACTGCATTTCCACTCCCTTTTATTTTATTTATTTTTCTATTTTAGGGAAGGGTCTACAGGGTGTTCAGGGTTTCAC